GCGAGTGTGTCGTCGCCATAGCTGAACCACTTCTCTGGTGTTCGGTGCTGGTAGTCTGGGGCTTTCCTTGTCAAGCATCCATTGCAGGCCTTGCAGCTGGAAGGGGTGCAGCTCAGTGAGAAGAGCGTCGGGTTGGGGCGCTTGTGGCATTTTCGCCTGCTGAATGTTAGCGGTAGATACTGGAGTCGCACATGCGCATCACTTACCAGATCTTCTTCCCTGATGCCATACTCCTCAACCATCTCCTCGACGTTTCTTGGGTTGAAGCGTAGGCTTCCGCCGATGATGTCCTCCATACTAGGTCCTGGCATAAGACCAGGAACCTGTGAAGAGCTAAAAGCAAACTCGCCCATGCTACTCTCGGGTGCCTCGCTGCCGGCAACATCCACGACAGCAGCGCCCTTCTTTTTGGCCTGTCTGGCGGCTTGCTTGGCGATCCGCTCGCGTTCCTTCACAGCTGCAGCTTCCTTGCGCTGTTGGTCTGAAGCATGTCCCGTAGGAAGTGCATCGCGTCGCATGCGTGCCATGAGCTCTTGCTTCACGGCTGGGTCGTTGGTTCCGTATAGCTTAAGTTGAATAGGGCAGTCGTAGAAGCCCTTCTCCCCAGTGAGCTGCGCCTCGATGAGTAGACTGCGCTCGTCCATGTATTTGGCCAACTTGGATGCGGCTCCTCGTGGAAGGTGTCCAACCTGTTCACCTTGTACGTTGGTCACTTTGATCGCATTACTGTCATACTCGTTGTGGGGTTCGCGCCTCAGAACCACCATCTCGCCAGTCGTTGCGTATCCGTTGTAGTATCGCACGCCCACAATCTTGTCTTGCTTGATGCCATATAGTATGTAGTCGTACTGTTGCTGGTTGTATGTTTGCGTCGCATCCGGGACTTCCTGAGAGGCGTCGTCTTCTTCGTCTTCGTCGATGAAGATGGCGTCTGCTTGCGACAAGCCAGATGTAGTGCGTTGCGCTTGGTTGTACGATGTACGAGCTTGCTTGGGTGCGCGGTGCGGGCTCGAAGAATAGCCGTGAGATTGCGCGTATCCTTGCGATGATGCCGGGTATTGCGATGAGCGAGCGTGCGACTGCGACGAAGAGTAGGCGGGCACATCGCCGTCTCCTGTGAGGTCAATGGCTTCGTAGGCGCGTCGTTTTGGAGGCATTCCGCATCGGATAATGGGTGCTAGAAGATACGAGGGATGAATTGCGCGACGGCGGGGAAGGCTTCATGACGTTTGTCACATGAGGGTGTTCGCGAAGTTTCGCGACCGTTGAACTGGGGTAGGAGACGATAAGGGGATAAGGATTCCAGGTAGCACGCTAAGGCGCGGAAGCAGGTGACATCACAGACAGGGGTTGCCAGGACGTCCGATTGCTGTCACAAGGAGATGAGGAGACGCAAATTGCAATCAGCTGTAGAACTGCCATCCAGATATACCTGTGAGGATACCGTCTTCATTGTCTCGGATGCCTAAGACATGCGATCGATCGGCAAACAAAGCGACCAGTCGTTTCTTAGAGCAGTGCACAACATGAGATGAGAAAACGACGAAGCGCATCGGCACCTTTTACTGTAAAGAATCCGTCCATTCGATACATCGTGAGCGGAAGGACTTTTTAGGCGATTGAAGAATTCAATCCACTGCCAGATGCTCATCGTGACTCTGCTGGTTGTTATATGATGCGTTCATTCTCGTAAGATTCCATGCCTTAGGCTACTTCCCTGACATCCCCATCCCATTACACCCTTCTACCCTAATTTGATAACACGTAAGCCATGGGCAAACACTTTCGTCCCATAGGTCTCAGCCGACACTGCCGTCCAGCATCAGCCCATGTCTCATCAGAATTGTACAAACAGCGGCGGGAACAAGAAGAGGATGAACTGCACAATTGGCGGGATGGAGCCCAGAATGCCCCTGCACAGCTTCGCCAGTCGCACGCTGCCGTTCTCCTGCTCCGCTTCGTAGTATCCGCAAACAATGCTGCCGATGAGCCAGAGCAACAGCAAGGTCAGCATGATGGCGTACCAGGCGGCGTGCAAATGGTACGGGTTGGTGCCCCAAGATTCCCAGAGGCTGCGGAGGTTGTAGTAGATGATGCTGCGCAGTGGGACGCCGTCGTATTGCAGTTTGTAGATTGTTTTCCATTTCGCCAACTGTGCAGAGAAGCGAGTCAGCCACCTTGTCAGCAACAGATGAAGGATGCAATGTCTTGGGCGATGCAGAGCGAGCGACGAAGCTTTGGCGATGAGTCTCTATGAGCTCGACATACTCTGCCCCTAGCCTTTTCCTCTGTCAACGCACGCTCGTACGCTTCTGCCGTCTCGGCTTCTGCCTTCTCACGCGCCTCGGCCAGGAAGTCTTCGATGTCAAGGATGAGGTATTTGGCAATGACGTCACGCTGCTTCTTAATCAAGGCGTCTTTGGCCGCCAGCTCTTCCGTGACGGGCATTGCGGGGCTGGTAAGCGTGTTGCTCTTGTGTGTGCGATAGTGAAGGCTGTGGTGGAGGGGTTGAAGCGGAGGAGGTAATGCAGCAGACGACCCCTTGTCTCTTTGGACTGGCTCTGGCAACGGCTTATCTGCTATCAGCTGACCTAGGAGAAAGCGCGAGTGAATTGTCGCTGAGGAAAGGGCGTCTGGAAATGCGTCCAGTGCAGGAGCTTCTGCGATGTCCTATGACCACCAGTCACGCCTGCCTCATCTGAGAGATAAATCATGCTCGAACCCACACACTTGGTCCGCCTGTAAGTCTCCTTGCAGACTGCCTCGGCAGCTGCATGTCAATGAGCCACAGCTACATCGTGGTGTCTTAGCATTGTTCGTCGCACATGACTTCTGGTGCTGGAGTAGCAGCTCAGGCGGATACGGGTGCCACACTAAGGACCTTGGGCGTACTATCGTGCGACTGGAGGACTACACAGATGGAAAGCGTGGAATGGGCGTCTGATGCATGTGCAAATGGCTTGCTATTGTTCTGCAAGCATAGTTGAAAAGAGCATGGCAACCGTTGGTTTTCTGCCAAGCAGCGGACATAAGCTCGCGAGAACCCCACTATGGCCTTCAACTTCATTCGCGCCTGGCTCAAGACCATCTTCCTGTCGCCATATCGCCTGCTGCGCGCATTGCTACCTACGAGCGCACACCCCACCAACCCCAAGGCAAAAGGCGTCAGGGAAAGAATGCCGAAATACTATCACGATGACGAGGCATGGGCGGACGTTGAGCCACTTCCCCAGGATGACGGCGGCCTGCATCCGCTTGCTGCCATCGCATACACGGAAGAGTACAGCGAGGCCATGGGCTACCTGCGCGCCGTCATGGCAAAGAACGAGTTCAGCGAGCGGGTGCTCGGCCTCACGGAGCACATCATCAGCATGAACCCCGCGCACTACACGGTCTGGTAAGTCGCGTCCCCGGTCGAGATGCGGAGTTTCGGAGGAGACACTGGCTATCAGCAGTCGCACAGGGAGCTCTCCAACACCCACCCCTACTAACCCCCGACAGGCTCTACCGCGCCAAAACCATCTCCGAGATTGGTCGATCACTGAAGGACGAAATCGCATGGCTCAACCCGACCGCACTCAAGCACCTCAAGAACTACCAGATCTGGCACCACCGACACACCATCATCGACGAGCTCGGCTCATGCGAGGGCGAACCGGAGTTCATAAACTCCATGTTGGAATTGGACTCCAAGAACTACCATGTGTGGAGTTACAGGCAATGGCTGGTCAAGCGCTTCGATCTCTTCGACAAGCCAGAAGAACTCGAGTGGACACACAGCATGATCGAGGAAGATGTGCGCAATAACTCTGCCTGGAACCATCGCTACTACCTAGTCGTTGGCGGTCGAGAGGAGAAGCCAAGCGCAGATCTTGTGAATCGGGAGATAGAGTATGTGTCTGTTGTCGCCCCAAGCTGCTCGACGATACTAACCCCCCTAGGTACACCAAAGCAGCCATCCGGAAAGCGCCCCAGAACCAGAGCCCATGGAACTATGTCCTGGGCATTATTCGCGCAGCGGAACTTCCCAAGTCGACCCTCAAGGACTTCGCAGGTGAATTCGCTGATGTGCAGAGGCCAGACGACGTCCACTCAAGCCACGCTCTCGACCTCTTAGCCGACATATATGCGGAAGAAGAGAACAGCAAAGAAAATGCGGAGAAAGCCTTGGAGCTGTTGGCGACAAAGTACGATCCGATCCGAGCAAACTACTGGAACTTCAGGAAAGGCCTCCTCGATCAACCAAAGGTTGCTGTGTAAACCCCATCGTTAGCGTAAACTTGAGAAGCATTACAGAGATACCCAACTAGCGTTTTCAACATGGCCTGCGGATCCGCATGATCTGTTCCGACGTCCGCATGCAGTTTTCGTTCTGGGGAAGCCCTGTCTGAAACGTCGATAGCTATCGCAGGAAAGTTGCATCGTGATGGGAGCATGGACGCGTCTTCCACTCATGTGCGAGAGTTTTCCTTTCCGTCGGGGATCGCTCGCGCCAATCCCGCAGCCGTCATGTCATCCTAACATCAGCCTCCTAGCCAACCCCGTCTTCACCGTCTCGCCGAGTTGTTATCGGCTCCGGGCCTTCTGGACTCATCACCCGCATAGACAACTGATGCGCGTCCTCTGATAGGCAAGGCCGCGCCAAGTCCACCACTGTTTGGAGGCGGCAAACCCTGGCAGAAAATGGTCCCGCCGTTGATAACCGCTTCTGGAAATCCAAACCCTGGCCCAAGCTGCTGCGTACCGGTCTCATGCTTGTGTCATTTTGCAGTCGCAGCGTGGTCGCTTGTTCCTTATCGAGAATCTATAGGGTAATTTATGCACTTTATAGGGTAATCGATACAACACATCGTGGATTCCGTGTGCCACAGTGCTTCCTTTACCCCTCTGGCTCCCTGACCTGGACACTAGGGTTGCGGGTGCTTGCGGAGCGATAAGCCATCATGGTAGAGATAAAGGAGTGGCTCTTGTACCCTTAGACTGCGACCAAACAAAGCGTTTCTGAACACCAAAGATCAAGCTCTTCGTCTACTTCTCATCTTACACTTGCTTCTAATACAATTCTGTGATACCCCCAATCCTTTCACAACTTGCATCATGGCCGTCAAGGAGTGCTACATCGACGAGGCGCCCCAGCAAAACCCATGGGTTCAGACTCCGCTGAGAGAGTCGTACGCGCTGTCTGAAGCAGCAGGATGGTACGGTCACACTCCCTCTCACCTTTATTCCATCCCCTCACTTTCACGTCACAACATGGCCCCAACTTGGAGAAAAGGGAATTCTAAATCGTAGAAGCAGAATCTTTCTCAAGCTGGAAAACCTCCAACCTTCTGGATCATTCAAGTCACGGTAAGCATCCATCCCTCAAGCCGCTACCTACCACCGTACTGATTCGTCTACTAGAGGAATTGGCAACTACATCCTCCGTCGTCTCGCAGAACTCCCAGAAGGCTCGCGCCCTCATATATTCGCATCCAGCGGTGGCAATGCAGGTCTCGCTGCCGTTCACTCTGCTCGCGCTCTCAACTTACCGTGCACTGTCGTTGTACCAACCGCCACGGCACCTTTGATGGTTGCCAAACTACGAGCAGCGGGCGCGTACGAGGTTATCCAATACGGTGCAGCTTGGAAAGATGCAGACACATACCTCAAGGAGCATGTAATGCCCTACGTACGGTTGTCTCTATGTACACACTTTGACTGAGACGCTGACGTATCCATCAGGCACAAACTTCGACCATCTACTGCCCACCCTTTGATCACCCAGACATCTGGCAAGGCAACAGCACCTGCATGGACGAGATCGCGGCTCAGCTCCCAGGCGAGCCAGATGTACTGATCTGCTCTGTCGGCGGCGGCGGCCTGATTAACGGTATCTGCCAGTCTATGGACAAACACCAAATGAGCAAGACAACCATCCTCGCCATGGAGACTGCCGGCGCCGAGAGTCTCAACGCAGCGCTCCAAGCCAAGGAACTCATCACACTACCTAAGATCACATCACAAGCAACAAGCCTAGGCTGCGCACGCGTAACAGACGCAACATTCAAATACGCCCAGCGAGGCAACGTTCGAAGCATCGTTTTACCCGACGCAGAAGCAGCAATGGGCTGCTGGCGCCTCGCGGACGACGAGCGCATCATGGTAGAGCTCGCCTGCGGTATCAATGTCGCTCTCTGCTATGATGGTCGACTCGAGAAGGCCCTCGGCCGCCCTGTCCACCCGGAAGACAAGGTCGTCATTGTGCTTTGTGGCGGAAGCAACGTCACAAGCAAGATGTTGTGTGACTGGAGGAACGAGTACGCGTACATTGAAGAAGAGACTGAGGCTAGGAGACGCAAGAGTGATTCTGCGCTTGGTAGTGAGACACAGAGTGAGACGGGCAGTATGAAGGATGTCGATATGGGAATGAGCAATGTCCCAAGTGAGTACAGTAAGCCTCTGGTGATTGAGGGTATTGAGGTTGGCTGCGTAGAGTGCTCGTAGGAGTCACTTCTTTTCCTGTTCTTTTTTTTTTCACGAATTTCCTTCCATCCAAGTTCATATACTGAAGCGCTTTCACGGTAGCGTTTAATGACAAAAACATTACGTTCAGTCCTCACGCGTTCACCCACCATTCATCTTTCATGGAGCTTAGTGGTGCCCCCGCGGTTGGGCTATGTCTACTACCTCATGAGAAGGCTTTGTGGCGAACCCCAGTACATCACGATGCGTCATCTCTCTCATTGCTTTCACTCTTGACCTGTTCTGATTTCACACTGCCACTAGCGTCAGATGCCGTCGCTGATCAGACCTGCCTTGCGCGACAACGCTTTTACGGACAAGGTAATCTCCCCATGATGTCAGGAGGAAAAAGAGAATGCGAAGGATGTAAGAGGTGAATTGCTTTGTTCAGTCGTCTTGGGCGCTCAGAACAAGGCCTTTACAGTCTGGAGCGCCGTTCCATCTTGTAACGCTTTGTCTCACACGCCTACGTTGTGACTCGAACACGGTTTTTGTCTTCATACAAAAGCATCATGTGCGTTATTGTTCTCGTGCGCGCGTAACCGCTCGCTCCACGTCAAGTCTCCATTGCTCTTCTTGCGCAACTACTCCAGGGCTGCCTACTACGTCATCGACTACGTCCACCCCGTACAATTAAACGTGTCCTTCCATTAATTACTGAAGGCAAGGTCAAGATTATTCAAAGCTTATTCCGCCATGGCTAATCCGCGAACAGTCATCAATCCATTTACCAAGAATGAACACCGCATGCGACGAAACACGAGGGGTACGAAATGGGTCACAGCTAGCCCTTCGACGGTAGTCAAACAAAATCGTGACTCTGAGCAGCGGCCACTACAGCCCAAAAATCACGAGTTCAGTTTACTCAGCGACTTGAATGGTGGGCCCACTGAGACGCGTGTACCGTCATCGATAAGATACGAGACAAAACCACCACCACCATCTTCAAAGCTCTCTGCAACCCATACGAAGGTCTCATCCCAGGAATGCCCTGTAGCAGCACCAAGACCTCTCGACTTCTCGAAGCTTGAACAGACCTGGAAGACATCAGATGCGGCTGTCCTTCCTCGCTGTTCAACGTCAATAGTATGGCCTGAGCAAGGAACAAAGTGCATGCGGCAGAACCAGAATTTGGATGAACCATCTAGTACTGATCAAGCTACAGTCCGGAAGCAGAAACGTGATCAGAAGCAAGCTGTTTCTGGTCCGACTCATTGGTACCGCACAGCTAAGCACATCTATACTGCAGGTCCAAAGGGTGAGGGGCAGAAGGTCTGGGAAGCATACCAGCAGACACTTGGCTATAGGAAAGTTGGTAATGAGGCCTCAGAGATCGAGCCCCCCGAAATAATGGTGAAGGCGCAGATCGAAAGGCGACCGCCTTGTCCTCTTCTACCCCCAACAAGTCCTGATGGAGTTCTCTTCCCACCGCTGCGGCCGCGGACGTCTCATACTCAAAAAGGTAGCAGAGTGAACATGACTGATAGGTCGGACTCGCGGAGAGATTCTGGCTTCTCGAGTTCAACCTATGAAACATCGTTAGCCACTGAAAGAACAGTTGGGTCGTTGGCTGATGTGAATAACCCTCTCCCTTCTTTTCCACGAATAGACATAGCACCAAAGGTACGAAGAGCCAAAGAAGGACCATCAGTAAATTCCCGGCAGCCCGCTGAGAGAGAGGGGTCACACTCATGGTGGAAACATTCGCCTTCCAGAGCGCCCCAATCTCTGAAGTTCAAGATCTCACGTCCTGGCCCGCTGATAACGCCAGTCAAAGATACCACAGTCAATATAAATGGAGAACGTGACGGGTTCGGCAGACCTGTAGCTGCAATTCTGCTTCCTGTAACCCGCGCTGACGTACCCTTTTCCCAGCTGCCTCACGTTCATGAGAAAACCAAAGGGACTAGCCGACCATCACCTCGAGCTTTTCATCTCCCTACCTTCCATCTCAGTCCTTCTAAGAGCAAACGCAACGGTCGAGAGAAAGCAAATGGAGATGAGGACGACGACGCTCACTCAACATACTGGCACGACAAGGTCGTAGGACCTACGTTGAAGACCGGTAAATCGTTGAAGCAAACTGCTAGGGAGACTATAGAAAGTGTACATTCAGGGAGAAAGAAGACATCTTCAGATATTAGCTTTGCGTGCCAGGGTAGGGTAGACGATGGGCTGGATAGGTATCAGGTCAGTGAAGGTTCCTCGTCAAGCGAAGATGAGAAGGACCTGTATCCTGAACCGTTGTTCTATGGCAAAAGGTCAGACAGAGATAAGGAGTTTTATTAACCTTATGTTGGCGCTTTAGAGGCCCTCCTTCGCATCACTCTTTCCGTGGAAGGTCAGATGACACTTCCATTGTACTATTTCCTATCTGCCCATCTTCTGATCATTTTACTGTAGATAGCTTTCAAGAAAGTGTCAAAATGCACTTGCACTCATCTCATACTATATTCCTCCTTCGCTTGTACCATCTACTTCTCTCACACCAAGACAACCCTACAACTTGCATTCCCGCGAAAGAACATCACGCAGCCCGACATTGATCAGACGCGGGAATCCCATTCGGACACCCGGGCATGACACTAATACTACTCGCATGATCACTCCCCCTAAAAGCCGCATTACTCCCCGACCCAATCGTAGTCCTAGCATTCTGATCGTAGTCTGGATCTCGGCGCCCCAAGTATACTCTAGATCAGGGTAGTAATACTGCACATCCCCGTCCATCTGCTGGTAATCCGAATCAGTGTTGAGCAGATAGGTGTTTTGCGAGTCATTGAAGCAGTCCGCAAAGCCGAGACCGCCGTTGGTAGAGCACTCGTACTCGTACCGTTCGCGCTTGGCAAGTGTACTTGCGGCCATAGAGCGGCACGCTCTACTTGCTATTCCTCCTTTGCCTTGTCCAGCGAAATATCGGCATCTACATGTGTTCTGATGTCATTCAACTCCGACAACGCAGAAATGAGATCCTTCTGCGGCCCACCCAGATTCTCCAAAACCTTCACTAGATTCCCTGTTTTGGGAATGAGCTTGTTTTGCTTTATACTGATCAAAGAAGCGAGTGGTTTGAAAGCAGTTGCTGCTATCTCCTCGAGCAGGTAGAGTTGGTGATCCAGCGGTGTGGTGGACGAGTTGGACAGATTAAGTGAGCTTGAAGTCGAGCCTGCTTCGCCTATCTCGCTACGTGCAATCTGCTGTTTGGCAAGTTGATCGCGACCCACTACCACGTAAGTGATTGTAGCTTTGACTCCCAGCGGCATTTCTTCGGTGCACACCACCCCATCCGACTGGCTGCACAGGGTCGCTTTGTATTCCGACCCATACTGCCCAACGATGAAATTGGACACATTTGACGTGGAACTTGGCTGGGTGCGAATTGTGGCAGATGAGTGTGGCCAGAATATCTGGGATAGCACTGAATGATTGTGCAGAATCTGGAGAATGTCATCGGCGTTGAGGCTGTCCGGGAGCGGGTATGTGCTTTTGCTGCCTGTTTTTGTGGAATAAAAGACTTGCCACTTGTTAGACACCCCCTGAATGTACCAACCAGTTGCTGGCGAAGGCAGACGTACAAGATGCCATTATACGAGATTTGTCTCCCTGAACTTGATTACTAGCGATGTGTCGCCGCTTGAGTAACGGGCGGAGGTTGTTGATGAAGTCAGGCCGTGAGCCCCAAGATCGCAGCGGTCGTGCCTTTGGTTCTGGAGAATGACGTTGTTTGCAAATCGGGGTGGTGGAGAAGCTTCTGAAGAAAGGCTTAAACGGCAACCGCGGCAGCGGAGAAGTTTCGGAAGCAATGTTTGAACGGCAACGACGGCACTAGGCTTGTAGTCTATTCAATAGCCTTGCATCATCTCCTCTGTACCAACTCGTGCCCTACGTGAACGTCTAGTGATAGTGATATACACGTACGTGACGCAGAAGCTGTTCATACTGCTTGGAAATAGACCAAGACGTTGATAGGAGCGTGGGAAGCTTACTTAGAACTGGGTCTCGTATACCTAGGCAGGTGTGCAACGGCGTCGCTTGCTGTAGTCTCTAAATAGCTGCACGCAGAGCTAGATGTGAAGGATGCCAGTATCAGATGGCTGATATTGACTCCTAGAGTGAGATATTCCGACGTTGCACAATCTATCCGAGCTGGAGGCGTAAGATTATGGAGTCGCTCGCACAGGCCACGTGCTGCCAGAGTTTTTGGAAGGCTAAAAGAGGGTAAAATAGTTTCGAAACGGGTTGCCTGACCGTTTTGGCCCCGGCTGATCATCGGCCGTGCATCCGGTGGAGAACGGATGGTCCCAGTGTAGTAAATTATGGGCATGGGAACGGGGATATGCATGAGATGGAGTATTATTAGGTTGGTGAAGATGGAAGGCTGGTAAGACCTAGTATGATGGAGGAGGAGTGGCAAATGCAGGCGCCTGCAGGCTGGGACGAGGAACATGATGAAGCGACTGGAGATGGGACAACTTTTGGGCTGTGTACATTGCGAAGATTGCAGAGGTTTAGCCTGGATTTGTACTCGTGATGTTCATGGAACGGCGTTCGTGTCTCGACTGCGAGTGAGCCGAGACCGATAACTGCGAACATCATCAGCATCGTCTGCATAGTGGGACGGGCCCTGGGGCGTAGGTGCTGAGGCACGGGCGGGAACACGGGCAACTCATGGTAGTCTCCAGCCTCCCGTCAACTCACGCGAAGGCCCACTGACCAAGACCAACGTGGCCTCATGAGATATTCGAATGCGCCAATGCTAAGAAGGATGTTTCCCTATTAGCAGCCTGACGCATCATTGCCGTGGTCTCGTACTACCCCACAATGCAGCCATAGACGAAAATAACCGTGCAGCAAGAAACGAAACAAAACTACCTCAAGGCAGCTAGAGGGCCGACGATATCCAGGTAAATATCTTGGTCGGAGGCTAGTGAGTCGATCCGAGGAGGATTAGCATGCGTTGTGCCTGGTCGTGCAGGCTCTAGCTGAGTGATGGCTCTAATAGGCGCAGCAGACCCTGGGCGCACAATGCAGCAGCGCTCACATCACGACAGCGGCATTGATAGCTGCTTACAGCCAAGGCTTCTTGGATTGATCCAGATGGGCTGCTGATGAAGTGCGAGCGGGCGTGCGGATCCTTTATTCGAGTCGTTTCCAGCGGGCCATGGCGCGACGGAGCTTGCGAAAGGGCGGATCGGAGACACGCAGGTGCCGTGTCGTCTTTCTGCTGTCTTGGATGGACTCGATGTCGCCCTTGGACTCGACGACGTGTGGGCCGCTATCAGAGCGGGGCGGCGCCTTCCCTCTCGTCTTGGAGGCTCCTTCCCGCTGCCATTGGTCGTCTGAGTTTGCTGCGCGCTTCCCGCAAGCTTAATCCGCCCTAGCGCCCACTCTGCGTGATGCACAGGCCCTGCACCCTTCAACCACTCACCGGCGACAACCACCATGTCGCGTTTTGCAGGCGTCAAACGTCTTGCATTCATTGGACGTCAGCCACTCAATGCCCTGCCGACCGCGACGCCAACTCGCTGGACAGAGTTCGCTCCCGAGGGCACGAGGCGTGGTGGCATGGCTTTGTTCCTCGTTTTACCTATACCTCGGACGGTCCTCGCAACGTCTGGAGGCGCAAGAGCAGACACGCACAACTGACCCTTCCAACGGCCCTGCGAGGAAAACTGCCATTGCCACGCTGACTGACGGCATAAGCACCTTGTCAGATTTGCCCATAAACCAAGCTCTTCGCGCTGCAGTGTCCAGGTCTGGATGCGCGTCGGTTGTAAATCGTCTATCGACTTCATCCGGGCGTCTATTTCTGGGCCACCACTCCCCTCCTCGCTCTGCGCGCCATTGGCATCCAGCTCGTCTCCCCACTCAGCCTATCAGACGCCCACCTGCAGTACTCCCAGCAGCCTTCCTCTAGGCGCCATACATTTAGAACGTTGTAAGTACCCGCCCGCTTTCCCATCGCAACCTTCTCCACCTGCTACCATCCGTGCTCCCCACTATCCAATCCTCGAGCGTTCCCTCCTCGAAGCGCCCTGAGCCTAAAAGCCCAGCGCTTCGCCCATTGCTAGACCTCGTCTTTTCTCCAGCAGGTCTCTCATTGTAATACGTCGTGCGTCTTTTATTATTTGTCTCTCTTAACCTCTTGCGACTGGTCTAAGCTGGCCTGGATTCTGGTCGTTGTCGTCCTGTCTTACATTTCTACCTTTCTCTCCCGTCTCCACTACATGAAAGCCTCCAGCTTCCTCGAGTGAACTTTGGATTCTTTTAGAATGGCCGCCAACGATAAGAAGATTACCCAGATCACGATTGAACGACGAAGCTCCAAAGACTCCCTCGACGTCAGGACTCCACGCGCAGCACGCTTCGCCGAAGCAACATCAGTCTACTCGCCGGTTGATCCTCCTCGGTCGCCCATCGAGTACCCAACCAACCACTACAAGCCACAACCCCAGATCGCAGACACAGGCTTCGGCTACATGCAATCCGTCGAGATGGAGGAAACCGATCGGAGGTACCTTCCTCCACCAACACCAAAGACTCCACTCAAGAGTGCATTGAAGTCGCCTGGCGCTCCGCCCCGGACGCCGGCCGGCGCAATGTCAATCATGAGCCCTACCTTCCGGGAAGAGCATCAGCTTGAGAAGCGCGAAGCAATGACCGACAAGGAGCAAGCAAAGGATTTGGTAAGTCTTCAGTCAGTCTTCTAGTCACATGCAGTTACTAATGATGCATAGAAAATTAAGGTTCGCGTTCGACTAGCAAAGATCTTCCTACGGGGCATCAACTTTGCCTGCTCGCTCATCGTCCTTGCCATGGTCGCCAGTGCCTTCGCCATCTTCAACGCCACAAAGAACCTCGCACCAAGGAACAACCTTCCACCATGGGCCGACAACACCAAGGTCTGGCCTCAAATTCTTCTGCTATCCATCGCCTGCGTCTCCCTCGTCATGTCTATCTTTGTCATCATCGCCTACTGGAGAGGAGGTCACCATCGAGCTGAAAAGGTTGCTGCATACTACACTGTCTTTGCTGTTGGATTCTTCATCTTCAGCATCGTCATGTGGGGTGTCGGTGCAGCGGTATTCAACCAGAGCAAAGCGCAGAACAACAACAAAGACATGTGGGGTTGGTCCTGCGTTGACAACAAGCGACGACATCTCTTCGAGGACGATATCGCCTACGGCCTTGTCTGCCGTCTTCAGGTAAGCATAGTCTTCGCCATGGCAACAGAGAATGAATACTAACGCTTCGTCAGAACTGGGCCCTCGTTTGCTGCATCATCGAAGTCGTAATCGAAGTTCTAGTCATTGCCATCTACGGCATCGTCTTCTACCGTTTCTGGTCTAAGCGCAAGCTCCGCAAGTCCATGGCCATGCGCGACCGTGCCCGTTCCGACCTCTACCTCGCCCAGCTTCGCTCGCAATCCGCACCCAACACCCCTGGCTTTGGTCCCATGTCTCCCCGCTCCGGCGGCTGGCGCCCACCTCCAGGTCACCCAATGTACGTTGACCCGCACTCTGCCGCTGAGGCTGGCGAGAGCGACAAGGTCCAATACGCCTACGCTCGCGAGATTGCTCAGCCCCAACCATTCACCCTCCAGGCACCGCCTATCAAGGTCACTGGTGCGACACCCAAGATCGAGCAAGACGGCTTCGACTCTGCACCCACGCGGACAGGCACCGTATCCCCACCACTGCCATCTCCAGGCTTCCAAGAAAGGAGGAACGAGCACGTTGCTGCTGCGCCGGGTGAACAGCAGTATGCTGCAGTTCCCATCCCCGGTGCTTACACACCGCTAGCATCACCCTCATACCCACCCCCACAACAGCAACAACCCACAGGCTTTGACTTTGGCTCTTCGGTGACCGGTCAGCGATAAAGCCATTGAGTTTGTTGCTTGAACGTGTGTTGTACTGTGGATTTAGCGCGCATCGTCACCTCTCCTTTCTCTTCTCAATCAATCTGGAATCTGGTTGCATGGTTTTCGCACAACGATATCAGGAAATGTACATTCTTCCACCCTTTTAAAGCGAGGCCTCGGCCGGGCTTTGTTTGTTTCCTTTGTCTGCCTCTCCGTCTATCGCTAATCGGTGTTCTGGGATTGGGAATGTTTTTAAGATACCTTTGAAGTAAGAGCACCTCTTCACTACGCCTCTCGTTGTATATGACATGAGGGATACGGGGTTGCTACAACAGAACAGAACAGAATCAGATCTATTGTGGTCTTTGAGAATGCCAGATGAAATACAAAGATCTTACCTTTCAAAACTTAAATTTCCTCATGCTTACGTTGTGATCGATTGATGCTGTGTCTATACTACTACCATCATCTGCAATCCTCAGCGAATTCCTCCGTGGAAAATCGCTACCAACGCGACGCACAAAGCGCATGACCATCGAACCACTCTGTCATTCAACCCCAAACACCGCAAACCCACGCCTCACAGCCAACGTCAGCGACTACGCCACGCACACAACCCGAGCGTCTCGCCAAACTACTCCACCGTGACCCACGGCCGCAGGAGAGGTCTACGGGGCGCTCGCAGCCGCCCGGCCTGCTTTGCCGCTCGGGACGCTCCTGGCAGGCACAGCGCGTGAACTGGTAATTGCGTAATCTGGTGGCTGAGCGCGAGACGAAGTGGACTGACGGGAGAAATGAGGGTCGGTCATTTAGGTAGACAGGAGTATCATGACTGATATATATGGTGGTGCTTGTGTTATTTTGGTTTCACAGTCTTAGTGTTATTTTAGAAGGTATGTACATGCTCCTGATGAACGGTCCGTGTCTATTAGAGAACGGAGGTGTACAACAGCGAGATGTTTGTGAGGTTGCGTTGAATATTAAAGCCATGACCCTTGTGTGCGCGCCATTTGCAAGCTTGGACGACGTATGAATGTCCCGCGACGTTCTTGATGGAGGTAGTTTCGTACTCCACCTACTGTGTATCTACGCGAGGATAAGCAAACATGAAGACAAGTCTGAATCACGAAGTTGGTCGTTCTCGAATTCGTATGACGTGAGACGTGCGTTTCGACGTCTCAATCTTACAGTCGTTCACACTTGTCCCGCACAGGCATGTAGATCAAGTGTGATGACATTCGAGTATCTTGGTGTACTAGTCGATCCTGTCATGTCAGTGTAACAGAACAGACACATCACATGCGACGACATCGAGCAGAGATGATCATACAATGGTTATGCGGAACATTCACCCAAGTGAAGCCTCCATTGTGTTTGTGATCGTAGACCCGCTCGTTAGAGACGAGGTCGCTCCATTGATAGGCCGCAAGTTCAATGCTTGCTCTTTTGTAAGATACATTCCAGGACTCCGTAGGACCGAACCCCCCGAGACCGAAAATGCTGGTGATCGTGCAAAATCTTCACTTCGTTCCTTTCCCCCAAATCGACGATACGTTTATCGGACGATACCCTCGAATCGGTTCTTGTACCACTTGATGGTCTCCTGTTGGTTGACCTTGTGGGAGGCGCCGATCTTGCTCTGGCACCGCCTGCGCTTGGCGACGCGCTCACCGGGGCGGGTCATGCAGACGTAGAAGTCCATACCGTAGATACTGTTCCAGTCAGCCAATGTCTCTCTCGCTCAGGATCCAGATTCCACATACCCAATGCTGGGGTCGTACTTGATACCCAAGTCGATGTGCTCGCTGATACCGAAACCGAAGTTGCCAGACTCTGAGAAGTTGCGCTTGCGGAGCTCGTACTCCTTGACCTTGAGACCACGCTCGAGGATCTCCTCGGCCTTGGGGCCACGGACGGTGACGTGGACGGCGATCTTTTCGTTCCTTCGGATACCGAAAGTACGGACGGTGTAGCGGGCCTTGGAGTAGACGGGAGTTTGACCGGAAAGCTGCTCGAGCACCTTGGCGGCACGAGTGAGACGATCACCAGACTCGCCGACGGAGATGTTGAGGACGAGCTTCTGGATGCGGAGCTCCCGCATGGGGTTGGAGGCCTTGGAGTCGGACTGTCATGGCTGTTAGTTTGCGCAGAGCAATTGGCGGTCGAGCATCGGTGCGTACCATGGTGATGACTGCGGAGGTTAGTAGTCGTTGGGTGGGCTGTCGTGTCGCTGGTGTTGGAGTCGCAATTCTCAAGGCATTTTTGAGCGGAGGTGGCTTAAGCGAGCCAAGCCGCAGCGCACGTGCCAGGCAGCCAGAGCTCCGAACTGCAACTTCTATCGCGAACAGCCAGCAGCTCCATACGCCCCGCCTACCGCCAACACCAAGGGAATACTTTCTCAGAACTTTTGCATACCCCTCCCTGCGTTTCAAGTCGTCCTCGGACGCGCAATACCAATCATGTCTGGCGCCGCAAACCGACAGGGAAAGATGGTAAGTAACTCTGCCTAGCAGCTCGAGTCTTTGACCTGAGAGAAGACGCGCATAGAAACTGACTGACGTCTGGTGATATAGCAAAATCTAGTAAGCGCTCCAGAATCCGCTCATAGTCGCATGCAACTTACAAACCCAGATCAACTACCGCATGAAAGTCACGCTCCAAGATGGTAGACAAATGGTCGGGCAGATGCTCGCATTCGACAAGGTCAGTGTCGCGTACCCTTTCCCTGCCTACTCTGCTAACTCTATCTCTGCAGCACATGAACCTCGTTCTCGCCGACACAGAAGAGTTCCGACGCACACGAAGAAGGGGCAAGGCCGCGCCCGGCGCAACCCAGCAGGTCACCGAGACTGAAGAGCGACGCGCAATTGGTCTTACTATCATTCGTGGCGCGCACGTAATCTCATTATCCGTCGACGGACCACCGCCTGCCGACCCTGCCGCGCGACTTGGGAACGCTGGAGGACCATCTACTGCTGCGGCGCTGGCTGCGGGACCTGGTGTTGCTCGTCCTGCTGGACGTGGTCTCCCAGTCGGTCTTACTGGCCCAGCTCCTGGTGTTGGAGGTCCTGGTCCTGGTTTCGGAGGTGGCTTCCCAGGCGCACCTGGAGGCTTTGGTGGCCCGCCTGGCTTCCCAGGTCGTGGCGGACCACCTGGCGGACCACGTACGTTGCCCATGATCATAACTTGAGGAAGTTTGCTAACAAGCCATAGCTGGATTCCCTCCCGCTGGTGGACCACCTGGATTCGGAGCACCACCAGGCTTCGGAGGACCGCCCGGTTTCCCTGGCCGCGGTGGACCTCCTGGTTTCGGTGGCAGGTAGAGGCAGGACAACGAACGATCATGATGAAATATCACTAGAACGACTTGGCATTGGACGATCGAACACGGCGCATGCCTACATCGCACATCTCAGGAGATACCTAGGTAAAGGACTAGACACACGTCCGACACATCGTAAGGGAGAAGTATCCCTAAGATTGCGCTGTGGTAGTGATTGCAAAGAACACCAAAAGGGCGGCATACCAAGTTCGAGAGTGTACGGAAGTTTAGCTGGAGGGGCATCGAGTATACCACCGGGTTGAATGCAGAACAAGATTCAGTCACGTCAATTTGACCGTGAAATTGGCTCCAATGACCCAAGTTTGATGTGTCCATATTGAAAGTCTTTGCCGTAGTGAGCGACCATGTCAACTGCTTCATCCTCATCTTACACGACACCGGAGAACAAACAATGTGCAATTCGCCGGCTCTACCCAATTTAGCTCCTTGTAACCCCTTCCCACGCCCTCTATTTCCTGGTATTTCCGGCCAGCATCACCGTGCACGTGACGTCTTTCCCGTTGTCGGAAGGCAGTCTGCGGTTCCCGCACCGGTCCCTGTTTGTTCGGCCCCAATTATCGCTTGGCACCCAACCTGTCCGTCGTGCGTCCGCAACTCGCAAACTGCGACCGACCGACCCACGAGAGCTTCCACGTCAAGCCGCCCACGCAACTCGGTCCTCGGTTTCCTCCCGATAAATAAGTCAATATGGCCGCCGCGATCAAAGCCCTCAATGCGAAGATTCGCTCAAACAAGTACACGGATTACTTTTGCTCGACTCGTACGTTCAACTCGTTCGTCTCTTCGCGGGATTGCGCATTGGAAGAGCTTGGGAGGTGGGCGCGATGGAGTATAGATCTGAGGATATGATGGAGGAGTGATAGGAAAGGAAAGACAAGAGAGAGTAGTGGGCTAACACAAAGATAGATTTCTGGGGCCCGGCGAGTAACTTTGGTATCCCGATTGCGGCTATTGCGGACATGAGCAAAGATCCTGAGATGTACGTCCTGCCTCCTTCTCTTCTCAGCATTTCTATGGCCAAACCACATAAACAACACGCGACGCAACCCGCCCTCTTCCTATCTACACATGCTCTCCATCCAATTCCACCCCTCCCCTCCCGTCCCTCACAACACTCAGCTAACCCCACCCCAGCATCTCCGGCCGCATGACCGGCGCCCTCACCCTCTACTCCGGCACATTCATGCGCTACGCCATGGCAGTAACACCCGCCAACTACCTGCTCTTCGGATGCCACGCCATCAACTTCTCCTCGCAACTCGTCCAAGGGTACCGCTACCTCAACTACTGGAACTTCGGCGGCCGGGAAGCCAGCTTGGCAGGAAAAGCGGAACAAGCAAAGGACGGGGCGATGGGTATGGTGGGAAAGGCGGAGCAGAAGCTTGAGAAGGTTGCAGAGGATGTCAAGGGCGTTATTCCGAAATAAAGAAATGGGATGACATAGTATACCAGGTTAAGAGGGCTTGTGTATGAATGGATATATACATACTTTCCGCAAACCTACTATGATCCAACTTTTGGTGTGCTTGACCAAGATCTGCACCACTACTATGCACACTCTGATTACATGAGACTGCTCCTCCCTCCAATCTCTGTCCCACCCTGTCCATTCGGCAAATCTCCATCTCGCCCATCAACGAATTCTCTGTAGATCTTCTCAAGACGCATCCGCTCCTGAGCCGAGATACTACTACGTCCGCTGGAAAGAGACGACTCAATGTGCTTCCATTGGATCTGCGGATCCTTCCTCTCATCCCCGTCTTCTTGCTCTTTTGTCGCCCTGTCTTCGTCTTCTCTCTGCGACGAGCCATCAGAACGCTGGAGTTGTTTCTGTTTCTTGCGAAGAGCTTGCAGAGCCGCGATTTTCTGAGCAATCATGGCGCGCTCGGTGAGTTGGGCGGAAGTGGCGAGAGCAGAAGTAGATGTAGATGAAGGGTCGTCACCGTAGCGAAAGTAAGAGAAATCCGGGATACCCTTTTCTTTACCATTGCCGCTACCGCTGCTTCCATCTTTCTTGTGATCAATCTTCGAGGGGTCTACGTCTCCAAGTACGTCGTGGATGGCTTCTAGTTGGGCGTTGTATACCACAGCTTGGAGATCGGCGCCGGAGTAGCCTTCTGTCCGCATTGCTATTTCGCGGAGATTCTCGCCTTCCTGTCCGTCGCCTAGGAGGCTGGGTGCGAGGTGCAGTTTGCGTGTTACGGCACGTAGGATGTCGATGCGCTCTTCCACGTCTGGCATATCGCACAAGAGGGATTTATCGAGACGACCAGGGCGGAGGAGCGCAGGGTCGATTAGATCGGGTCGCGACGTAGCGGCTAAGACGTAGACGCCTGAAAGACCTTCCGCTCCGTCCATCTGGGTGAGAAGTTGGTTGACCACACGGTCTGTTACACCCGTTGAGTCGTGTCCACGTTTCGGTGCGATACTGTCGAATTCATCGAAGAAGAGAACGCAAGGTCGCGCTGCTTCTGCACGCTCGAAGAGATCACGGACAGACTTTTCAGAAGCACCAATGTACTTGTTGAGGATTTCTGGTCCTTTGACGGAGATGAAGTTTAGGCCGCACTCACCTGCTACGGCGGATGCGAGGAGAGTCTTGCCGCATCCTGGGTAGCCGTACAAGAGTAGACCTGACCGGAGACGTAGTGGGCATTTTGCGAAGATGGGTGCGTAGGTTGTAGGGTATTGAAGGGTCTCTAGGAGAACCTGTCGTGTTGTATGGAGACCGCCGATGGAATCCCATTTCGTGGTGGAGGATTGAAGAGTGACATTTCGCAGGGAAGCGGGCGTGAAACCGGAGAGAGCTTGTGTGTAGTCGTCCCGCGTAAGAGAAACAGTAGGGGACGTTGATGTGACTGAACGAATCAAGGCCTCGTTACGGGCACGCGATGTGAGTAGCACAAGATCGCCGGGCATGTAGCCGTCTGTCTGACCAGCGAGGTCGAGAAAGTCGATAGAGGTGTCGATAGTGAAGGAGTAATCTTCGGAGGGTTGCTGCGGTATGCTATCAGTGCTAGGCTGACTGCGGTGAGCGGTACTAGGTCGACTGGTAGATGGAGATGGTGGGAAAGCATGGCCATTGGGCTCGTCCGCCTGCTCTGTTTTGGAGTCCTTGAAAGCAAGCATCTCAAGAACCTTCCTTCGACCGTCTTTGTTGGGCGCTTTGAGACTGACAATCTCGCGGACGATGTGTCCGCCAACGATGACGTTGTTCAGCGCCTCTTTACCTTGCGCAGTTGCTAGCAAGACTACACCAGAGTCCATGGAGCAGTATTGCCTAACGATGTTTATCAGACACTCGCTGACATGTCGACTTCGTCCGTTCTCGTTGCCAACTTGAAGTTCAGTCTCTACAGGGCAAAGCTTGTCTAGGTCGTCAAGAATGACTACTGCATTCCCGCCGCCTCTTGCGCCCCACGAGGCCGAAGCGAACAATCTGTTCAGAGTCTCCTTGATAGTCGCGACTCGCGTCTCATCCGTTACAAGTTTGCGGCAGGGGAAATAAATGGTGTTGAAGAGATACTCTGTCCGCAGCTGATGGGCGAGCAGTTGAGCGCATTCCGACTTTCCTGCCCCAAGGCCACCGGTGAGTAAGACGGAAGAGTTGTGCGTCAAGTGTGATCGCAGTTGCTGAATGAGAGGGTCTATGCCAACCAGGTTCGCGGGCGTCTGCGGTAGCGGATCACCCTGCTGCCAGCCCTTGGCCCAGCTTGTTGGCGTTGGCACCTCCTGACCTAGCTCAAGCGGTGGTTTTCTCTCCGGGAAGAGCACCCATGAGACCCCGGTTGTCGACGATGGCGGCTCAAACCTTACAATGCCTCCTTGCCAGCCAAGCTCGGAGTCCTTCGCCGGAGGCAATATCATTCCGTCTGTAACTGGCCCATCCAGGAGTCCATTCTTCTTCCCATATGTTGTCTTGATCTTCTGTATGGCATTTTCCTGGTCCTGCTTGGACTCGCCGCCAAACTTCAACGACGCGTTGACCTGTGATGCAATGGTGGAAAAGGGTATGATCTTGACAGACTTGACGACAGGTTCCCTTGATTCTTTCGTACCTTGCGGTTTGATTGCCGACGGCTTGGGCGTTTGAGCTGGAGCACCTTCGATCCGGACGAGACCGCCCACAAAGTTCTCGAAGCCCAGAACTTTGCAGAGATCGGTTGAAAGCGCCACATGTCGACTATCCGGCGCGTCCTCCCATGCTATGATCTTGGCAACCACGCGCATTGCGGGCTTCTCCTGCTCCTGCTCTTTGGACATATCGACCGGCTCCTGTAGCCCGGCGGGCTTGATGATGGACACAGAGACCCAGTTTGCGCCTCTGAGAGCCTTGGTAAGGAGTACATCCTTATCTACCCACACCTTCAGGCCCTCCGCGTCTACATCCTCTTCCTCGTCGAACCACTCTTGAGCAACACTACGATCAACTCCACGCAGGAAGATGACGCCTTTGCTCGCGGCATCCTCGCGACCGCTGCGCCGCCGGACCGTGCTTGCAGTGCTCTTCCCGCTCTTCCTCGATGCAGCGCCTACACTTCTACTTTCGCGCGTCGAGCTCCTTTCCTTCTGCCGTGTCTTGGGCGCAACGATGACCTCGGCGTCGGGCGAGATCTTGACGAAGAGTGAGGTGTTGGGCGGCGCAGGAGCGATGGAGGTGACGGTGATGTTCGCCGTGGTCGTGGGAGATAGGTGGAGAGTGAGAGGATGCGGCGACTGGGCCTGAGGGTTCGGGAGCGCGCGTATCTGAGAGAGGAAGTTCAACTCCAAGAACTGGGCGTGCAGCTCTATCATCTCCCAATCAACGGGGGTTAAGGGCTCGATGTTGATTGTATGCGCCTGTGGGGGATCCAGATGCAGCAATATGCCCACCTTCTGGCCTTCTTGGAGCCCGATCAACCTGGCGAAGGTGGCATCCACCTCTACTGCTGGCAGGTCCTGTTGGCTGACTGCCGGGCTGCCTCTCAGGCCATCTCGTCCGACGACAGGCGCAATGCGGCGCTTGCTCTGCATGCCCGTCCATCCTACAAAGACCGACTTGGGCGCGGCATTCCTATTGTCCGACGCACCCGGTGGAGGAGGTTGGCGGTACGTGAGCTCGACGACGACATTCTGGGCGACGGTGTTGGCGTTGACGAGTACGGAGACGAGGGAGGACGGGAGATTGACCAGGCAGTTCTTCAATGACTGCTGCAGGGCAACTTCGGCCTGGACCGCGTTGCCGGCAGGCTTCTTGGGCGGCATAGCGACGAGGGTTGAAGAGTGAATGGAGGTGCTCCTGTCGCAGTCGCATGCCGCATACCTCGAGCTCTCCACGCGGGCCGAGGTCGAGGTGCATGTCGGCGCCGGTACCCCAAAGCGGTGCTAGGAAGCGGCGGGCCAATCGCTCGACGGCCGTGGGAACGCGGGTCGACGCGCCTCAGAGCTGCAACGCGACCAGCCCCAATTTTGCTACCGCGCATCCCTCCCCGCTGCATCAACCCTAGACGACGACCTCGACACCAACCCCAGACACCATGGCGCTCCTTACCACGAGTGCGCCCGTCAACTACGACGAGCAGGAGGGTGTGTATGCACGCGCAAAACAGTGAAACCGGCAGCTAACACCCACCAGCCGCCTTTGTTGACTTCCTCAAAAACTACAAATCAGCCTCTACCGACGCGGCCGATCAGCTCCAGGGCCTGAATATCAGCAGCAATGGCGAGGAGGAGTACGACATGGTGGACGACTCGGACGACCCTGCGCCGAATGGAGCCCAGTCCCGCGGCAAGTCGAAGCTCAAGTACATGGACCAACTCCAAGACGTAGCGAACCGTGTGCGCGACGAGATCCAGATAGACCTCAACGACGTCGAGGCGTACGAGAAGGCGACATCAGACGACGAGCACAACTACAGGCTGGTCGAGTCCATCGAGCGCAATGCACACCACTACATCGAGATCTTCTCGCGCGCAGTCGATAAGTGCCTGCCCGCACCCACCAGAGAACTAGAGTACGGCCTCGTGACATCCTGCTCAAACAGAGACTAACAGCACCAGCTTCAAGGACGATGTCCTGGACGTGATCATGACGCAGCGCTCGAAGCGCAACGAAAGACAGCAGGAGATGCAGGGAGTCGACGACAACGCACAGGCTGCGCCCGAGACCATGTTTCCCCCTGCCTTGACGAGACGATACACGCTCAACTTCAGGCCCAGGATACCGTCTGGTTCCAGCAGCCAGCGCAGCACGAAGGCGCTGGCTGTCCGCAACGTGCGAGGAGAGCATCTGGGCCATCTCATCACAGTCCGTGGTATTGCAACCAGAGTGTCGGACGTCAAGCCTGCTGTGCAGGTCAACGCCTACTCTTGCGATCGCTGTGGAAGCGAAGTTTTCCAGCCCGTGACCACCAAGCAGTTCACTCCGCTCGTCGAGTGCCCGTCCGACGACTGCAAGAGCAACAAAACCAAGGGCCAGTTGTTCCTTTCCACGCGTGCCTCCAAGTTCCTTCCTTTCCAAGAAGTCAAGATCCAAGAGATGGCGGACCAAGTACCCGTGGGTCATATTCCCAGACAATTGACTATCCACTGCCACGGCGCGCTTGTCAGGCAGATCAACCCCGGAGATGTCATCGATTGTGCTGGTATCTTCCTCCCCACACCCTACACCGGATTCAAGGCGATCCGAGCCGGTCTACTTACCGACACATACCTCGAAGCACAATACGTCATGCAACACAAGAAGGCCTACGACGACATTGTGCTTGCTCAACCAACTCTCCGAAGAATGAACGAGCTTGAGAGGACTGGCCAGCTGTACGAGTACCTATCGCGATCCATCGCACCTGAGATTTTCGGTCACGTCGATGTCAAGAAGGCTCTTCTGCTCCAGCTCATTGGTGGTGTCACAAAGGAGGTCGGCGACGGCATGCGCATCCGTGGTGACATCAACGTCTGTTTGATGGGTGACCCCGGTGTGGCCAAATCGCAATTGCTCAAGTACATTACCAAAGTAGCACCTCGTGGCGTGTACACTACTGGTCGTGGTAGCAGTGGTGTTGGTCTCACCGCGGCCGTCATGCGCGACCCAGTCACCGATGAAATGGTGCTTGAAGGAGGAGCTCTCGTCTTGGCTGACAACGGCATGTGCTGTATTGATGAGTTTGACAAGATGGACGACAGTGACCGAACGGCGATCCACGAAGTCATGGAACAGCAAACCATCTCCATCAGCAAGGCTGGTATTACAACCACTCTGAATGCCCGCACATCAATCCTCGCAGCGGCCAACCCACTGTACGGCCGCTACAACCCTCGCCTCTCGCCAATTGAGAACATCAACCTTCCTGCTGCGCTTCTATCACGTTTCGACGTCCTGTTCCTCATCCTTGATACCCCTGCGCGAGACTCGGATGAAGAGCTGGCTCGTCACGTCACCCACGTGCACATGCATAACGCTCACCCTGAAGCCCCGGGCGGCATCATCTTCAGCCCGGCCGAAGTACGGCAATGGGTTGCTCGCGCGCGATCATACCGGCCGACTGTGCCAAAGGAGGTTTCGGATTACATGGTTGGTGCCTATGTGCGCATGCGTCAACAGCAAAAGCGCGACGACGGCAACAAGAAGGCCTTCACCCACACTTCGCCGCGTACGCTGCTTGGTGTACTCCGTCTTGCACAGGCTCTGGCACGTCTGCGGTTCGCCGAACAAGTCATCTCGGAAGATGTTGACGAGGCTCTCCGCCTTACCGAAGTCAGCAAGGCCAGTTTGTACGCCGATGAGAACCGTGGGATTGATCACACCCCAAGCAGTAAGATCTACCACCTCATCAAGTCCATGGAGGCGAGCGGTGCTGCTGCTGTCGGTGATGGCACCAGGGGTGAGCTCGATCTTCGCAGGGTTAGGGAGAGAGTCCTGGCCAAGGGCTTTACAGCCGATCAGTTCGAGCAGGCCATTGACGAGTACTCCATGCTTGACGTAAGTACCATCGCCCCACGTTTGAGTCTATGCACGATGCTAACGCTTTCTGACAGGTCTGGCAAACAACCGGAGAGGGTACAAGGCTTGTGTTCATCGAGGCTGGTCTGGAAGATGAGGATATGGATGCCGATAACGACTTCTAGAGCATGGGAGGGAAGCGACGGCAGAGGATGTAGATGTATCTGGTTACGGCGTACCAAGGCGTTGGATATCCGAACGACGCTTAGCGCGCGTCTATTTTACTTGCAGCAGCTTCGCATAGAAATTCCAATGAAGCAACGATGTACAAATCCTTCTTCCACGGCCGCCCACTGAATGTCGCGTGAGGTCGTGGGTGGCTGTCACATGCCAAGGCAGCCATCTGCAGGCAAGCATCATCGGTGCGTGGTGAACCCTCGCGGGGTTCGCTACCGAAAAGTGGCAGAGCTCAAGTCTCCCAGCCCTGTTCCACTGTGCATTCCCTCACAACCACTCCCAGCTCCTCTGATTACTTATGTGGTGAGAATTCGCTTCGAGTCTTGTCCACGGTCTTACCTTCTTAAAGAGGTTACCTCCAACTGCGAATCTCGCGACCCGGCAGAAACCAGCCAGATAAGCTTGCGCCAGCTCTCCTCTCCTCTCCCTGTGATTTCTCGATCAACCGCAAACCCCAGACGAGTTCGCGTTCCTGAGGATTCTTCAAAATGGCCCAAGGCGCAGCAAATAACTTTGCGCAATTCATGGTGGTAGGACGTAAGTGCACCCCTCCACGCTGCCTCCGCCCACTTCCACAACACTCCATCGCGCCCCCATTGCACCCGCTGACGAACCCGCAGCAACATGTTTCTTCCTCGGTATCATGTTTGCGCAACTCCCATACGACTATAATGTGCTATGGACCATGCCCGCCGACCGATCAGCCTACTTCGACATCCTTGAATCGCACATCAAGTTCCTCTATGCCTCGCCTCCCATCGTGTCGCGCATCCTCAACCTAGCCATCGGTACCGGCCTCCTCGGCTTCCTCATTAAGCTTTTCAAGCCCAACCAAGCCAACATGCTCTTCGATGGCGCATCCCTCGTACTCTACATGGCTGGTATTACCGTCTACCTGACCAACATCGTCAAGGGTTTCAGGGTCGTCACAGCGGGTATCTATGGTGACGTGAACAAGGCGGCGCCGGGTGAGATCACGGACGAAGATATGGGAGACTACATCTCGAGGGAGGACACGCTGAGGGTTTTTGCGGCTAGCAATACAATTCTGGCGCTGGTGCTCGTGGGTGTGCTGGTACTGCAGGCCGGGCAGTGGTACGCCAAGAGGGCTGAGGAGAAGGAGATCGAGGAGTTTGAACGCCAGGCTGCGGAGGCCAAGGGCGCTGGGAAGAAGAAGCAGTAGACAATGAATTCGCTGCTAATGAGGGGGCTTTGGGGTAGCGCTTTCGCATCTCAAGGAACTCAACTTAGGCCAAGTAGGCTTTCAGTACTTCTTCTCTTCGGTTATGTGTAGTTATCAAGAGTTGGGATCGGTTCGTGGTATGCGAAACGAGTTGTATAGGAACAATTGGGCATATAACACTCTTCGTGAGATGCACTTGTTCATGACTTGGTATCTTTCTGGTTCGTCTCTGTGCTTAGTATCAACAGCCATTCTCCTCATGCATACGAACGCAGTCTCTTTCCGCGATTGACTCACTCCTACCATCTGAACTCATCCCAGAAAGCGTCAGCGGTGTAGGTCCGGTCGGTAGTGCTTTCCTGTTTGGCACAACTTGACAACAACAACCCTCATCTGCCTGACCTCTCTTTCTCTCTCGTCAACCTCGACTACATCCTCTACGACGACTGGAACCTCTTGTTTCGACAATTCAGCTTGATTAGGGATATACTGACCGACCGCTAGTGCTACTCACTTCACCGATTGACAGATACGCACACAGCCGTACCTTCTCACCGCTCACGAAAGGACCCACGCTAAGCAAGCAGGAGGAAGTTTCGACCACTGGACTTCGTGAGTACCTCTTCTACGTTACGTCAGGGGAAAGCATTACCAATCATGTCGCGGCATCAGGCAGCTTCCGCTCGTGCGCGCAAACAGACCGTGACCAGGATGGCACACCGAGACCGAATTGCCGCGACCTCAGCAAATGGTCTTCTCGGCCGCCAATTCGCCAGCATTACGGACGTGCTCATCAAAGCAAGTCAGCGTCGTAACGCTGAACTACAAGAGCTACAGCAAAGGCGTTCGAGACCAGTACCCATCCCATCAACACCGAAGTCTGCACCAGAGCTTCCTGTCAACCCCAAATCAGAACTATCACAGGGCAGCGATTCTTGTGACGATCGTCTCGAGCCCGAACAAGCCTACGAAAGTGAGGAGAGCACTGCGAGTGACGAGTCAACGGCGGCTGCTTCTACTCGAGGACCATCAGGTAAGCATTGAGGCATTAACTGATCACTCAACACAGCCCGACTAACCCATGATTAGACATGCAAGAGACACAGGTCCACCTGCGTGGCGGCTACTTGTCGCACCGTGCCGAGGATCCCAAGATGATGCTCGCGGAGCTCGATTCGTCGCTGCAACAACGTTCAGACATTGGTAATAAGGAGAAGCTTGATGGCGACTATGATCTATCGCGAATGCTGGCGGATATGAAAAGGGCCCTGTCCTTGTCAAAGGATACTGTGATTATACGCGACAACAGTCAGAAGGCCATGGGCGCAGACCTCAGTTTGAACAAGGAATACGAATTGTCAGCTTTGGCCGAGCGCCTAGGCGTCGACCTTGACGAAGACGATACCATGGAGAATAAGGAAGCCATGCCTGCTGAATTAGGTGAAGAGAAGCAACCCCCTGTCCCAGACCGTTCCGACGATGAAGACGATGATCTCGAGACTCTCCGCGCGAAGATGGACACTATAGTCTCACCACCCTCCGACATGACCCTCGAGAGCTCTCCCGGAACCGACCAGAACGTATCTGTTGTCGGCAAGACACTAGCTTCTCCAGAAGACGCAGCTGCAGTCCTCGAGGCGAAAGGCATACAACGTCCCGCCACGAACGAATTGAAGGCCAAGAAAGAGAGGGAAGACATGTTGAAGAGGGAGAACGAGAAGCTGGACGCCACCATCAAGTACGTCCTGGAAGAGGAAGAGAGGTACCGCGCGATCGAGGAGAAGAAAAGTCTACCAGCCCCTTTGATCGTCACCAATCTCGCTGCTAGCGTAGACGAGGAAGCCATCCGCATACTCTTTATCGAGTACAAATGGGACATGTAAGTCATACACTATACACATCGGTAGATGCATACACTAATTACAGTTCGCTAGTCGCAACATCGCCATCCTTCCCGAACGTGAGCCCGTCAAGAGGACTAGAACGGCATATATCGACATGTACAGCAGGGACGAGGCGGTTCGTGCGTCTTATGAAGTTGGAAGCATTTACGGGTTGATCGTAAAGATCAAGTTGGCGGTGGAGTAGAGGGGTATGAAGGCTAACATGCTTATATGTGGACTACGAGATATTGGGCAATAGTGTATTGTATCTGTAAAAATACTTTCTGAGTAACTACTCGAGAAGGAATACACATCGGGCGTGTATCAAGCAGTACCTTTTCCATGGAAGGATCGAGCCTCAGACTCCCTTGTCGCTCGCTAGTGCCTTCTCCAGCTCACGATCAGCGCTCAACTCCTTCTCGGCTCCCTCAATCACACCCCTCAGTCCTTTGGCACAGGCCTCCAACTGCGTCTTCTCCTCCTCGTCAAGCTGAACTGGCATGGCTTTGATGATACCCTTTCGACCAACTACTGCTGGCATTGACAGGCAGCAGCCCAGCTCAGGCTGGTAGAAAGACAAGGGGCGAACGGATCGTGAGTCGAATAGAATGTACTTACAGATACCAGCCGCGATATTTCCGATGCCGTAGCTCGTGCAGCCTTTCGCTGCGATGATCGCGCCAGCTGCTCCACGAGTATGAGCCGAAATCTGGTCCTTGAAATCCTGAGTCATTGTGTCTGGCGGAAGAGCAAGGGAAAGTGGTGTTGTGCCGATAGTAGCGCTGGACCATGCAATCTGTGTCTTGTATCAGCATACCTATCTCTCTCATCTTCTCCCCTCCTCCTCTCTGGCCGCAAATCAAGTAATGGAAAATGTACTCACAAACTGACTATCCCCATGCTCCCCCAACACATAAGCATCAATACTACTCGGCGCCACCCCCGCCCTCTCACTCAGCACGCCCCTCAATCTCGCAGAGTCCAAACTCGTCCCCGTCCCCAACACCTGACTCTCGGGCAAACCCGACAACCGCCTCGCAAAATACGTCAGGATATCAACTGGATTTGCCACAAGCAGTAAGATCGTGTGCGGACTAATCGGCGCCATGGCACTGAAGATGCTCTCTAGAATGTGCAGGTTGCGGGAGAGGAGGGATAAGCGTGATTCTCCTGGTTTCTGCTTTGCGCCGGCGGTTATGACGACGATGTCTGCACGGCCGGCGTCGGCGTGCGTCCCGGCGCGCACGCGGACAGAGGTGCCGCCGCGGTAGGTTGCGTCGTTTAGATCGCGGACTTGGGCTTCGAGAAGCGTGGTTTTGGGGTCCACGAGGATTACTTCTGAGCAGATGGGTTGCAGGATGAGGGTGTAAGCTAGGGTGGAGCCGACGTCGCCGCAGCCGAGGATGGCGATTGTGGTTTTCAGTTTGGGGGAGGTCATTGCGTCGTTTTGGTATGTTGGTACTTGTGGTTGTGTGAGTAGGTAATTGCACTGTCGAGGTTTTTGTGTGGTAGAAGAAGTTAGGTGGTGAGAGGCGCGGAACTTGAGTGAGTTGTAGGATTGATAGGGAGACGCTGTGGGGACTCCATCTTTTGAGGATATATATACTATACTCATCCATATGTCTTGGAAGTCGCATGTTGTATTACGTTGCCAAGGCCTGGGCTGCTGAGAAGTGGTGTGATCTGGGGTGGAGCTCAGCCACTCACCACTCGCCTCATTGCGCAAACACGTGTTGACAGCATCAAACTAATAGTGGTTTTACGGGTCATTTTCGTGTCATACCTTACTGTGCCTGAAAGCAGATATATAAACGCAGACGTATACTGTTTCTTTTGTACTCAGAACAATTCAGTTTCAAGATCGGTGGTCAGGAGCTCTAAGTCCAACCTCCTTCGCAGTAGTGAAAGTATACCGTCCGCCGCCTGCTCCTTCTCGGACGAACCCCCATATGACCGGCAAGTGTGAGCAGTCGTTGTCTTGCTCGTGTCTGTGACAGTTTGCGCTGATTGCTGCACTGCATGTGCTCACCAGCGGCATAGGGTGTGGCGGCATGTAGCCATCACGCTTGACTCGCTTCACGTCGTATTTGAATGCCAACCCAACAATGAGTAGCAAAAATACTAGTATAACGCCGACGGCCATTGCTAGCATGATACCGATGCTTGAATACCCGACTGAGGATGCGTCCATGTTTCTATTTCGGTCAAAGTTCGGGGTGTACGCCACTGTTTGGATCACGAAGATGCTTTGCGAGATGAGCCAGTGTAAGAGACCGGAGCACACCATCAACGGAACTGAGTATCGGTAAGGTAGCGAAAGAAAGTAGTGCGATCGTTGCATGCCCCTTGGGACTGAGAGTCGCAGTGCCTTGCGCTCGGAGATGAAGTCGTTCCATTCGGAGGCGGCGACCATGACAGTCAACAGGTTGTTATACAGAAGGTACAGAGCGCTGACGACGACTTGGAATATGTTGGCGTACAGTACACCAAAGAAGAACCCAGATGTCTGGTTCAGTCGGCGCATAAATCCAGTCAGGGTTACAGCCCATTGTCGTGCGTCGCCCACACCGTAGCTCCAGAGCGAGGCAAGATCGACTTGGACGCCTAGAGCGCGCTGGGCCTTGATGGTTAGACCAAACAAGATTCCTACGAGCGCGAGGAGAGATATACATCTAACTGGAATCAGCCAATGCTGTTGTGTACCGCTACTGGACTTACAGAAATAATGTAGTACACCATCGTAGTGTGCTTGCAGCGCGAAACCAACAGGTAGGTCGAGGGGGCGTGCGTTCTCTATTTCGATGCGGAAGAGGCCAGCCCTTTACAAAGTCTCTCTTTGCAAACAGATCCATGTGTTTCGTATGCTTGTCCTCTTCGTCTAAGAAGCTTGCAATGGCATCGCCAAGAGTGACAAGATGACGTAGATTTCGCTTTTGCTCCGATATGTTCTGGTAGCTACGGCCTTTGTGCCTCAATTCTCGGGAAGCATGAGGGGTGTAGCTGTCGTGCCAGTGGAGATAGACTGTAATTCCGATGCAGAAACATTTGAAAAGATTCAGCGCCGTGACGATGATTAAGATCACCGGGCTGAAACGTAGTGCGCATGCATTGTCCATTGTTCTACCATTTTCCAGGGCCAGGCAGTGATCGACCTTGAACCCCGAATTGTTTCCAAGTGTCCAGGTCTTGTTGTAGGGCATGAGGAATGTCTCGGTGCAAGCAAAGCTTGACCTGAGTCCAGGTAGCGCCCATGCTGAGCACATCCAGTCACTGTTTAGTCCCCAGTCACTGCCGGGCCCCTCAATTGTGGTGAAATTGGTCAACAACGACGAGCGAGGATAGTCTGAATCGTCTGACAACTCGTCTGACATGGTGATGTTGGCGCTCACAACGAGCAGGCTGGCAAGCCCTGAGGTCTTGCCAACATAGCGTGAGATGCAGTCAGTCTTGCTGATCACGTCTAGCTGGGATGCAGCACGGCGGATATCCTCCAGCAGCGATAGTGACGTGTTCCACTCGGCCTGGTCGTCGAGAAAGTCTGCGGTCACTAGACCAACGTTGTAGGTACTAAAGGGTGTTGCTGCGAACACGGCAGAGTTCCAGCTGCCGCCAGATCAGTTAGAATAATGAAAGCATGAACACACACACATCGTCACAACTTACAAGAGGTGCAAGAGACCAGAGCTGAGCATCAACAAAACCCATAGCATGCGCCGTTTCGGATTGACTTTCCGCAGATTTCTCAAACTTTGGATACCTATATCCAGCCATGTTTTCTTGCTGTGCGCGTTGTCGACCTCCTTGCGAGTAGGAGCCACAAGGAGTTGAGCGCAATAATTGCTCGCGCCTAGGAGAGCCGTAGAAAGTGCATTGATGGCAAAATGTACCCATCTGTTGTACTGTCGTATACTGTCGCAATCGTAGTTTCCGTTGGGATGGAGTATGTCGACAAAGTTCTGCTGGTCTACATTGCGCTTGCTCATCGCATATACTGTGACGCCTAAATTGATGAGCAGCACTGCAAACGAAAGCAGGGAGATTCCAAGGAGCGCTTTACCACGAGTTGACAGATTTCTAATCCAGCTGCGGGAGTGGAGTTCCGGTGGATCAACTTGCGGAAGCCAGTTCTTGAGCAGTGATATCGACCCAAAACGGCTGAGGAAGCAGTCAATTTCATCACTCAATAAGTGTTTTGGCGGTACATGAACTCACGGAACAACCCCACCAAGATCATGAGATGACTGTTGGATGTCTTGTGGTACAAGCAATTCCCGTGACTCGTCTGGGAAGTTCGCCAATTCGAACACATCTGCGTCTCGGTGCACCAGGCTGTCCTGCGATACAGCCATCGAGGAAGTAAAGATCGAGGTAGAACAGTTGATGATGGATGCAACACAGTACCAGCGGAGGCCCGGAGTGTAACACGCATTTATAGAGTCTTCATCGCCTGGGCAGGCTGAGAAACTTGTTGATGAATTTGTCGATTTCTCATCAGCACCGCCCGCTGCTGCAAGCCACGTCGGGCCTCACATCGGGATAGGCTTAGACAATCGGGGTTGTGCTATAAATCCTTCAGCCTTGTATGGTGGATTCCTGTGACCAGAAGCAGCTCTTATGTCCACAACACCACGGGAAGCAACCTGGAAGAAGGTGAGTCCGTCTACAGTCTACGCATATCTAGGTAGACCCAAAATCTCGTGGAATCCGTAAGGTCTGTATGGAAGCCATGTTGTGTCGCTTTTTGTCCCCATTTGCGAAGTATCGTCAGGCTGAACGGTCGGGTAGGAGTGCATGATGTTCGCTTGCGCCACAGTGGTTATTCAAACACCCGGCTGTCATGCTGAAGATACAAAGTCACGCGCAACAGCTGGAAACAGTTGCATGCAGAAGTATGCTGACGACATAAAGCCTTACAAGTCAAAGAAGGCTCTCGTGCTTTGTTATGGCGTGACAAAACCACCTCACTACACTAATAGGTACTCCTACTGCATGGCGTCTCGTAGTAGCGCGCTCCGAGGAGGCAATAATCGTAGTAAGGCAGATGTGAACAGATTAAGCCCACTGCTCATGCATCTCATCCTCCAGTGGCAGCATCGTCTTTTGCAATTCCTTCGCCACCTTGTCAGCCTCTTCCCAGACGCGAAGAAGATTCCGTCCTGCGATCTTTGCAGCATCCTCATCGCTTATGCCCTGCCTTAGCAGTTCGGCGATAAGGTCGGGGAACTTGGATACGTCTTCTAAACCCTTGGGCGTCTTCTCGATACCGTCGTAGTCTGTGCCAATACCAACGTGATCATATCCAATCAACTCTCCAATGTGCCTGATGTGGCGAACAACATGCGCTAGAGTATTGTTTTCTGGGACAAAATCCGGAAAGGAGTTCGGTGTCTTCGAAGTCTTGCAGGATACAAAGTCTGGGTTGAAGTTGACCATGACGACAGAATTGCGCTGCTTGACGAGCTGAAGTATGTCATCGGGCACATTTCGCGGATGCGGACAGATTGCGTATGCGGAGCTGTGACTGAAGATGGGCGGTGCGATACTGCCGTTCCAATCTCCGTCACCTCGACCGACAAGGACGTCGCGCATGGTGTCCTGACTCACATGCGCAAGATCTACTAACATTCCCAGGCGGTTCATCTCCTTGACGAGGTCACGACCTGCGGGACTGAGACCTTTCCAGTACGGTTTCGCAATGCGCGCGCTCCAGTCGGATCCTGTCTCGATTGCTGCATCGGCATACTTGTTGTGGCAGTTCCATGTCAGAGTCGCGTATCTGACTCCAAGCTGGTAGTACAGTCGTAGAGTAGAGACCGAGTTGCCAATTTGGTGCAACCCTTCGATAGCTGCTGGGGCAATGAAGCCACCGTTTTCAAAGGTTTTGATGGCTTCTGCGCTGTTCCGGGATGGAGTGAAGTATTTTGGGTATTGTTGCCCCAGGCGGTTGAATAGATCTAGCTGGCCGAGAGTTGCTTTGACGACTGCATACGTTAGTATTGATCCAACTCTTTGTCGAGTCGGATTGCCTTACTATTGTGATATCTTTCGTCAGCAAAGTTCGTCTCGTCGCCCAACGGACATAGCCAGAAGGCACTCCAGAAGGCACCGCCTTGATGTCCCTTCTCAAGGCGAGGAATATCGACATGCTGCGCTAGACCGCCGTTCTCGAATTTGTCTGCAAAATCGCTGCCGGATTGATTGTAGATATGGTTGTTGTATTTGCCTCGGATGAAGATCATGAGATCATTATGGCCATCTCTTGGGTAGTCAGCATGTGGCCCTGCATTTCACATCCTTACGGCTGACCAATGAGTGGGTTCCTTTGCAGTATCTTGACAGCTCTCTCTTCGACTGTCAATGACTTTCCACATGTGTGCTTGTGGCCTGGAAACAACGTTCGGATCTCTGTGAACCATATGGTCGACGCGATAAGGAAGAGGACTACGAGGAAGATAACGTCATCAAACTTGCACAGGCGCCGTCTCGAGGACCGGCGCTGGATTGGCGCAAGCTTTTCGCTGGTAGGGAGGTCGCCCGCCTTCTCCATTTTCATTCTCAAAATAGGAGATGCAGGTGAAAAGAAACATGGTGCCAGGTTGAGCTGTTATCATCCAGGTAGATCGGTCTTGGCAGGAGGGTGCGGACGGATTTTAGGAGTTTGGTCCGAAACACCACGCGACGCGAATCTCAGAAACATTACGGCCACGAAAACCTCAACTTTTCATCTGCAAGTTTCTCATTCGCAGCCCATCATCCACAAATATGGCGATAATATCAGCAAACACCATGATACGCAGTATCGCACTGTTTCACCTCACACTTGCAGTCGTCCTGCTCCGGAATCCCGCCCTGGTATCGAACCAAAGCGTCATTCTCCTGCTAGGAGAGTCAATGCAGCTTGTACGTACTGCAATACTTCTACTGCCTACTCAAATTATGTCTAAAGTGACTAACACACTCAGCCAACCCCCCGCGACTTCAACAAGCCCTCGGCCGCAACAGCCTTCGTAGCCATCCTCTTCGCCTTCATCGGCTTCTCCGACCTGACGGCCCTCTCCCTACACGATGACGTTTTCGACCAATTCTGGGGTCTCCAAGCACCCATGCGTCTCCTCTTCCTCTTCGGCCTCACCTCATACTGCTACGTCTTCAAAGAAGGAGGCATGTTCGCACCCAGGGGCACGGACTTCAGAATGCATGCCGGCGCTAGTCTGAACAACAGCTTCATATTCACATGGGGCTTCATGGAGGTTTCGGCGTGGTTCTGGGTGTTTACCACGTTGAGGGAAGAGAGGACGGAGAGGGCGAAAAAGATTGCCGAGAAGGAGGCTCGGGAGAAGGATACGCTGTAAGGCAGCTTTGAGGAGTCAGGACACGTTCCAGATATGCTTGAATTTGGGTGGCAGGTAACTGGTACGCTTGCAGGGTTCAACACTATGCTGTGGCATAGAGTGGAGTATGACGATACCATACCACTCCATGGGCCCGACAGGGACCAAAGCAGCCGGTGAAGACAAGAACTCCCTACACACAACGCGACAGCACAGCGACGGATGCTCAGCAGAAGATAAAACATGCCAGTGTACAGGTCAGAAATACAACCAAGCTGGTCTGGAGATTCTCAGTAGGTGCCCGCACCTAAGAACAGCATACGGGCCCGCGAACTTGTTGCTTCGTCAATTATGCTTTGATCCAATCATAGCCGACCCTGGATCATCGAATGCATTTCCAACCAGATCTATTTCGCAGCGACATGAAAAGTCAACCTGAATCATCGATGCCGCCATTCTCACCTGTTCCTGCAACGTGACTGGACCGGAAAGCCCTTCCTACATACCCCGATGCATGCGTGCAAGGGATTATCGCATCCTACGAGACCAGAGGCTCGGTTCGCCACCAACGGAAAGCGAAGCAACTTGTGTGGAAGAGATCGATTGAGCCTATCTAATACGTGTAGCAGAGCGTTCCTCCTTCTGTATTCAGCAGATCCTTGAGCGTGGCATTCCCTGCTAACAAGCCGATGTTGACGGTGAAGTCCAATGTAACGTTCTTGCCGCTGTAATCAAAAGGCGTAATGGGCCCGCCGACTTCGTTGAGACGTGTCTCGAGATCTTTCTGTTGCCATTCCCAAAAGATGCGGTCAATATTGCCATGATGGAGATAGAAGAGTGGGTCTGCCATATGTTAGCATGTGTGTTGATGTTGTAGACGGCTGTCGCCGGGAAGAATAGGAACCAGGCACTCACCACCAGGGCTCTCCGCTGCGTTTCCCATGGTACCCAGGATGCCACCGATTCCAAAGTGGCCGCTAGCATGAATGTTTGAAGGATCAAAGCTTCGCTCCTTTTCAACTGTCCTTGCTATGCTGGTGTAATCCGGCTGTGCCAGGACTTCTTCGACCAGTCTCTTATCTGCCATTCGATTGACGATCCACGGAACAAAGTCTCGTGTCAAGCAGTGTGGGGTGGGCACATTCAATGCGAAGTGAGGAGGGGCGAAGGGCCCATTAATTACACATCCTCCACCGGTGTTGCCTGTAATGTTCAAGCGATTTTGGTCAGGAGTCGCTGCGACGGGGTAACCGTTACCACCAAAACCTGTGTCAGGGTTGAAGATCTCTGAATCAAACGGACGGGTGGATGACTCGTTATGCGGTTCGGCATCCAGAGACCAGTCCCAGTATCTGCACACTGGTTAGCTTGAGAGCCATGAATGTCATGAGAGTATGTTTGGACCAGGTAGCAACTTACGGTTGCCCTCCAGTATATCCGCATTCGTCCCTCAGTGCCTTTTCGTAGGTTGCAGTGAAGTAACGGTGCCATAAAAGGAAGTGACCCTAAAAGTATAAGCGCGCAAGATCAAAGCTGGGCCAACAGGGTCCGACGTACAACCCAGTGGATTTGAGGCTTCTGGAGCATGTGAACAGCTTGATGATCATCGAATCGGTTTACGGCTCCTTCAATGCCGGATTTGGCCTTTGTATGTGACAAGCACAGAACGGCATCGATGTAGGATTTCTTCTGTGGTTCTGACAATTGTCTCCTATAGCTGAAGCATCAGTAACACATTCGGCATCATACAGCTTTTGATAATCTTACCATTCCACCCTTTTGGGCGGATTTTTGCATGAACCCAAATCAGTAGTTGCAGGTAACGCTGCAGCTGCAGACCATTGTGCCAAGCTTAACCCGACAGGGAGCAGTTCGAGAAGACGCATGATGATCGAGCCGGAGATAGGAAGCTGAAACGTGAATGAAGGGAGGAACTGTCACACGTGCGATGCCTTCGAGAACAGAAACGTTCTGCAGGGTCTGCAGTGCCTAGGTACCGAAGAGCTCTGTCGTACACCTACAGCGAAGTAGGTACCTGAATAGCTGATGAAGGTTGACGATCAACATCACCCGTCTATCTTATACAAAGGCTCCGCGATCTGGCTGCCGACAGCCGATCTGGAAATGCGCAATTAGATCGCCTAAAGTCCTTTTGGACCCTTCTCCCGCGGTTGCATGGGAGACATTGTTGAGTATGGCAAATACAACTGCCGATGATCTATACCTGATGCAGGCGAGACGGAACCCATGCTGGGCCTGACATCGGTGTACTCTGTACTTGGAAGACATGCAGGCGCAATATATGAGCCGTTTTGATCGTGCAATGCGTACCTAGGTAGCCTTGGCTTTACAAGGCGTAATTTCGTTGCTCGCTGCTCAGGTATATGTAGATTGTTGCTGACATCTTTCTCTTGGCTAGTCACCTGGGTATACATACAGCAGGACAATTCCTGCGACGCACGCTATCTACGGGTACTTGTATCCTTTGCCGAAAACCTGTTACTGGCCTTGCCCGTTTGAAGGGCCTTGGCGTACGGGGCGAGTGGCCCGCAAACCCCGGAAGACATCCGGAGGCTCATTCATACCTGGCTTGCCACCTCCGTACTCAGAGAGGTTGTGTGTGGTAGATCGTTACGGAGCGTCGGGCGTAGCTGCGCTTACTGGGATGGTGAGATTGCGCAGCCGCAGCGTGTTGGCAGGGTTTTTCGGTATCGTTTCTTGATCCGTGGCAGGACGGACATCACGCAGCGTGGTTTTCCGACCACGCGAAGGATGCGAGGACGCCACTCTCTCTTCTTTCAGCGTTGCGCGCCTGAACTCCGACACACGGACATGAATCAAGTTCACCTTGGTGTTTCCCCGGTGGCTAAAATATCAGTTTTGGTGGATGGCCGCCCTGACGCAACAGTACTGGAGGATCACCATTTCTGGTCGGCCACAAGCCATTTAGTGATGCTTGCATCGGACTTTGACATACATATGTATAGTGAAGCATTTCATTTATGCGCCCGACGGAGCACTTGTTAGCTCCCGAATATACTCAGGTACCTGCCACCTGCCTTGCATTCCAACGGCCATTCCTGCCCTACTGTATGTAGGTCGTTACCCAGGTATGATCGGGCCGAATCTTAGTGCAGATCATGAATCTAGGCAGCCGATGTTTCTGATTACAACTGGAGTTCTAGTCCTGCTATCAACAATTGCCGTGGCTCTGAGGCAAGTACCTGCAGCATTGGCGACATCCTTGGGTAGCAAGACACCGTTTGCTCACACCTACACAGGCTTTACTGTCGCATCTTTCGCATCCGCAATGTTGGACTCGACGATTACTTCATGGTTGCTGCCCTTCTTGTCACGATTGGCATGGCGATTATGAATGGTTATCACATCAGCTGGGGCACTGGGTATGGTTGCATGGTTGCAAGCGTATGTGCGTCACTGACTGCGACAGACAACATTTGAAGTACTTGGATGTGCCTGCTATGAGGATTCCCACACTCAAGCATTTCTACTTCTACCAATTGGTATATCCCGTGGCACTGTTCTTGGTCAAAGCTAGTATATTGGCGTTGTACCATCGTATCTTTGAGCGGTTACAATTCCGGTACAAAGTGTGGTCTGTAGCTGCATTTGTCACGATCTACACAATTGTGGTTCTCTTCGTCAGTGTAAGCTCCTCGCTACTCTGCTTCAACTAGGAATGACACTAACTACTACAGGCTTTCGAGTGTAGACCTAAGCCATCACAAGCATGGTCACCTACTTTTCCAAAGGGGTGCAACAACCTGCGAGCTACTTACTTGGCACTTGGAGGCATCAATATCCTCACCGACATAACGATCTTTCTACTACCTTTTAAGCCCTTCTGGAAACTGCAGCTAGATTCGAGGCGGCGATGTGCGCTTTTTGGTGTCTTCGGGGTTGGAGGCATCGCCGTCGCTGCGTCAATAGTAAGGGTGTATGCACTATGGCTGTACAATGTTACCAGAGATATATCGTACGATTCGATATTTGTGAGTAGCTTTCAGTGTGCTCTTGCTCATCGAGATGCTGACCGATACACAGATCCTCCTTTTATCACAGATCGAAGTAAACGTCGCTATCATATCCGCCTCGGTTCCAGCCTTGCGGCCACTTCTCCGCAACACGTCTCTCGACTTTAGTCAACCAGAAGCGTGTGGCAGCGCCTATCGACGTACAGTCAGCAGTGGCTCCACTACCAATGGCCGAAGTGCTCGCAATCTGATTGAGTCTAGCGGTCAAATTTCGCTTCTCTCGATGGAGAGGCGTAGTCCGGTGATAGAACGGAAAACCTCATGCGGAAGAGGAATGAACAGAACGAGCGAGGATTCAGATCTAAAGGACGATGGTATCATGAGCACAACGGAGACAACGATAGAATTTGAGCAGATGCCTAGCGAAACCCTCCCACCTAGCAGGCGTTGGATGACTACAAGGCATCTGAATGATACACGGTAGAAAAATAACACGGGACAGACTAGACAGTATAACGACTTTGAGTTGTAGGATCGTGGGAACGTGACTATCAATGGATTGACCATGTGTTTAAGCCTTTAGCCTTGACTTGAAGACCTTTCCTACATTACACGCGCCAGAAAGATCGTATCAAGCAACGAGGCAAAACGACGCATCCCAAAACCACAATCGCTCTGTCTTCTGAAGTCCCGCATGCCAAAGACTCATTATTCCACGCCACAGCTCCCTTGTGGTACAACGCTCAAAGAAGAAGCATCAGCATGCCGGGAGCTAGTCCAAGAGCCCCAATCGTAAATAAGAACATTTCTCCAAAGCCTGAGGCACTTCCAACGCGAAGGCCGGCAGCAGCGCCGGAAAATTCTGCTGGAGTGGAGGTGCTAGGCGATGCAATAACGGTAGTTGATGTAGCGGCTTCCGAGGATGTTGCATCGTCTGAAGATGTGGTCGCCCTTGATGACGACGAGGCAACCCTAGATGTCGATACAGGGGCCAAAGTCGAACTCGGTAGTGGTGTTGCTTCAACCGTAGGCGTCTCTGACTGTGTCTCTAGAGCAACACTAATCGAGGCACTGATAGATTCGGCCGCAGAGTTGGCAGCCCCCACATCCGACGCTGTCAGTGAGAAGGTGGTGTAATACGTCGTTTCTGTGGATGTAATCTCGTAGGTAGCCTCGAAGTAATAGTAGTAATAATAGGTATAGTAGTATGTCAATGAGTACGTGTACCACGAGTAGTCGACAACAACAGGATCTGGGATTGAGCTTGCGGATGGTGCTGGTGTGATGGAAGCAGAAGGCGGGTCGCTTTGATCGATGCGAGGTACCTCAGAGTATCCGTCAGGGCAGGTCTCGCCGGGTAGGTGATAGTAGTCGCCTGTGCAGCATGTACCAGTAGGTGGGATGCATGGGAGATCGCCTGATAGTGTTAGTCTGGGGTATGGCTCAATTGGAAAGGGTATTTACCAGGGCATACTGGAATCCATCCAGGTGAGTTGCACTCTTGAAGCTGACGAGGAGAAACGCCAGGCGCTCCCTTGAGAGGTCCCGCTTTGCCAGCGAATACGGAGTACGAGAAAGCGCTCAACAGCACTAGCGAATGAACGAGCATGATTGCTAGTAGGAAACCGGCTCTGTATGGAAACGTGAGATGATGATGATAAGTAAGATCGCTGTTGAGGTCTGCTGGTGAAACAACAGAATAGCCTTTTCAGCCTTCAGCAACCCCAGACTTTATACCACCATGCCACCAAAAGAGCAGTAAACATAGCCTACCTGACAGCCTTCCATGATCGCAGATGTCAGCTCTTCATCTCCACTGCTGCGGTTGTGCAATATCATGCTTGGCAAGATGTCGTTGTTCCAGGAACTTCGCCAATAGGCCTTATTACGGCACGCCACGAGAATGAAGTGTACAACGCCACAACAATCCCATTGGCGGCCCACGGATGATGCGAGAAATGCGAGGATACACGTGAAGTGTACCTGGGGGCCAAAATCGGATTGGCCAATCAGCTAGGACCTTGGTCGTTACACAATATTGAAAATAGGGCTGTAGGTCGTATAAACCTTCAGCCGCAGTCCGTAGACGGTGAAGATGTCCCTTGTACAGACCGGAAAGTTTGGGTCAAGCAAGTATGCCTTGCGCCAAGGTAGTCGAGGAGTTCTTGCTGCGGCGAGGCGTGTACCTAGGTATTTTCACAAGCAGCTCCCAACGACCACCATCTGAGCTTCCTTGACTTAGACGACGCCATGATCTGCACAATCGCCCCAGTAGGATCGTAGGTAGCTCTTCACTTTATGGTCGGTTAGGACCCGCTCGTCGATGCGTACCCACAGTGAGCCACGGGGATTTAAGGCGAGGTCGCGTTGTGCATCATGTTGATAGCGTGAGGGAGCCAGATAGACCGCTGTTCCAAGTCGCACATCCATTCTCATCAAATACTGAAGAGCGTGACCTCGTGAGGCTAGATCTGCCGAGGAGATAGCAGAAGATGATCAGACTTGGATCTGGCACACAATAGTCGTGGTGCTGGCATGAAGATGATCGCATACGAATCCACAGCTGATGCATTGCCTGACGTCCGATGATCCTGTGTGTGTCGCATTCCTGAGGGCGCGCAAGTCGTACGGCTCCCCGTGTCAACTGTCGGGGGCTGCAGCAGAGCTGCGAGCAAAGAGAAAAGCAAAAGAAGATCGCATCAGACCGCTTTCTTTGCAGTATCTTGTGTATGCTTCGCCAAAGCGCGAGAGAAGATGCGCGGCTCGACAAAGCTCTGAAGATAGTTTGTGCTGGATGGAGGTTTGAGCTGAGAAAGGTTACAGGGACAGACATTCATATCAGACGGCCGTATTGCAGTACTGCATCCCGTCGAAATTGCAGCTGATGACTAAAGAGAGATGGCTAAGCTTTGCTTTGAGACGTGGATGTGAGTGTCGATGGCTCATGTGATGGCGTTCTCAGAGCGATCGGAACCGGCCGCGTATCTCCAGTCTTTCGGGTCCAAGGTCACGACTCGACCGTTCGCCATCGCGTGTCCCCCACTTTCGCAAACACAACGCCTGCTTGCGACCAAATGGGTTTCTTTGCAAACTCTCCTACCTCTCTCTACTCTCCAGGCGGATACGGCTGACGAGTCTCGCGTGTCCCATACGACGCAACACACCAAGCACCATGGACGAGGCACCACATGTAAGCTACAACAATGCCATCGAAGAGCTGCGCGCCAAGGAGTATCCTATGCTGCAGGGTAAGTCTGTAGAATGCTTTCTTGGGCATATGCTTACTTATCAGACACGACCTACCTGGACCATGCCGGCACCACGCTCTACTCCAAATCGCTGATCGAGCGCTTCTCTGCCGACATGATCGCGAACCTCTACGGCAACCCCCATTCCGCCTCCAATGCCTCCCAACTGACGACGCGGCGAATCGAAGATGTGCGACTGCGCCTCTTACAAATGTTCAACGCCGACCCCCAAGAGTTTGACGTCGTCTTTGTCGCCAACGCTACTGCTGGGATCAAGCTGGTCATGGATGCATTCCGGGACCAAGACAAGGGATTCTGGTATGGTTATCACAGGGACGCGCATACGAGTCTGATAGGGGTACGCGAGGCAGCGAAGGAGCATACATGCTTCGCTTCGGATGGCGAGGTCAACGACTGGATAGACGGTCAAGACACTGGAGTTGGTTCGGCACAGCTGTTTGCGTATCCCGCGCAGTCCAACATGAACGGGCGTCGCCTGCCATTAGACTGGCCACACCGCATGCGAACGGGCAAAAGAAAGGATGTATACACCCTGTTGGATGCTGCGGCACTTGTCTCAACATCGCCTCTTGACCTCGGGAATCCTGACGAGGCCCCCGACTTTACGGTATTGAGCCTGTACAAGATATTTGGCTTTCCCGATCTTGGCGCACTGATAGTCAGGCAAGCATCAGCATCGGTTTTCGACAAGCGACGCTACTTCGGTGGCGGCACAGTCGAAATGGTCGTGTGTTTGAAAGAGCAATGGCACGCTAAGAAGGCGGACGCATTACATGAAAGATTGGAAGACGGCACTCTTCCGATACATAGTATCATGGCGCTTGATAGCGCGATGGCCATCCATAAGGAGCTCTACACCTCATTGGACAGGATTTCGAGCCATACCACCTATCTCGCCCGGCAGCTGTACGAGAGGATTTCGTCATTACGGCACGGGAATGGCGAAGACGTCTGCCACGTATACAAAGACCCAGCCTCCAACTACGGAGATTCGCTTACCCAGGGCCCAGTTGTTGCATTCAATCTTCGCAGCCAATGCGGAGGCTGGGTGAGCAATGCAGAGGTGGAGAAGTTGGCTGCAATCAAGAACATCCAACTCAGAACCGGCGGACTCTGCAATCCTGGTGGTGTTGCCTCATCGCTAGGATTAGCACCCTGGGAGATGCGAGAGAACTTTTCTGCCGGGCAGCGGTGCGGTAACGATAATGATATCCTGCGTGCGAAACCGACCGGCATGATACGCGTCAGCTTTGGAGCAATGAGTACCCTATCGGATGTGGACAAGTTTGTTGGCTTCGTGCGCGAATTCTTCGTTCAGGAACGCCAGCTGGTGGACACGTCTCCAATGATGTCTGCTGCTGTAGAGCCACCAACTCAAAGTCGCTTGCACGTGGAGAGCCTATCTGTCTACCCTATCAAGAGTTGTGCGGGGTTCAGCGTACCGCCCGATAGTGCATGGGAGGTGCGCCCGGAGGGTCTTGCGTGGGATCGCGAGTGGTGTTTGGTTCATCAGGGCACCGGAGCCGCACTGAGTCAAAAGCGCTACCCAAAGATGGCTCTCATACGTCCCAGTATCGACCTCGAGAAAGGACTTCTACGGGTGAGCTTAGTAGGCGCTCTGCAGAATACAACGAATATGCATGAGATCACCGTGCCTCTCTCCGCCGATCCACGAATGTTCACGGACGGAGGTGTATACAAAGACGCAAGAGCTAAGGTCTGCGGAGATTCTATCGAAGCGAAGACCTATAGGTCGAGCGAAGTATCGGCATTCTTTACGCGGGCTCTTGGGGTGGCCTGTCACCTTGCACGCTTCCCTGCTGCTAGCAATGGGAGCGCCACCTCAAGACACTCCAAAGCGCATCTGCAGAAGTACCAGAAGGCGGGCGCTATGCGAGTACCCGGCGCCTTCCCAGAAACGGTTCCCATTACGCCCGGCGCGTGCGTTTCGAAGCCAATCTTATTAGCAAATGAGAGTCCTATCCTTACTATATCACGATCGAGCCTCAACCGCCTTAATGAATTGATCAAGGCAGAGGGCGGTAAAGCGGCGCAAGCAGAGGTATTCAGAGCCAACATTGTGGTTGCGGAGAACCCAGCGTACCCGCCTGGGCTGGAAGACCCGTATGCGGAAGACGACTGGCGCTACCTCCAGATTGGCCATCAGTACTTTGAGATGCTGGGAGCGTGTCGCAGATGCCAAATGGTCTGCATTGACCAACAAACCGCCGAAAGAAACCAGGAACCCTTTGTAACGCTTTCCAAGACACGACGCTTTGATGGTCGCGTATACTTTGGAGAGCATACCTGTCATGTACCCTGGGACAATGTGCCATCCCCTCTTAGGCAGAACCCCACCATCACGGTTGGCGATGCAGTAAGCCCTATTAGAGAGGATGAGATACACCAGAACAGCCACCTGCAGGCCCTCGTAGGTTGATCCACCCAGGCCGCCCAAAGACCAACTTACTACCCTTGTTGGTACACGGCATAGCTGAGTATGCTTCGAGGCCACACGGTCGCAGCGCTCGCGCGTGGCTTCAGATGGTATACAGCAGGAGACGGTAATTGGCCAGGTAGCTATGTACAGTGTAACAGAGATTAGACGGGCGGGTCGCCGAGCACACGGCCATGAAGCAGTCGAGACGTTGATGTAGGCAACGTGATAGGCATACGCAATTCACGGGAAGGCCCATGTGTAAGCGCTGGTAGTGATGTTTCAACGGCGAACCAGAGTCAGGTGTATGGTACGTAAGAAAGGTGGCAGATGGCATGAGACGGAAGCGCGCGCGCCCTCCGAAGCAACATAGACATAGACAGCGGCTGCAAGCAAGACATAAAATCGTCTAATGCTCCCACGAGATGAGATGCACAGCTTGCACACAGCTTCAATCTATTTCCAGCAACATCGCTCATGAGGCACATTCCCTTTGCTTGCTACTTTGCCTTGATCTGACGCCAACGTCTCATCAGCTCGTCTCAGATTCTCTTACCGGGCAAACTACAAGGTCGCCACGTTCAGCTTCAGATTACGAGCTTGCCTCCCGCACATCGACACCGCACATCACACACCCGAAAGCTACGCGGCGAATCAGGCGCGCTTTCAGGCCGGTCAGAGTCTCGAGACCTGCAGGGGCTGAACAAATCACACATCTTGTTTCAGCGTTGGGCAGCGAATCGAATCCCTGTGGAGGTGTTCGCCAGTGCACGGGGCTGCATATCCTAGTCCTCGGCGCTTAGAGAACGCTGGGACGCTTCGCGCCCAAAATAACCGGACACGACCCATACAGCGGCCAACAACAACAGCGCATCCGCGCCAAGCTAGTGTCATAGTACATACAATAAACACTCTTGTCCCCAGGCGCCAAACGGTACCTGTCTGCCTGCCTCGCTCTCTCACTCCTCCACTTTGCTGTGGAAGAAGGCATAGCACAGCTTGCAGTAATACCGACCAGGATCCAAGTCATTCGTTCACCACCACGGTATATTCAACACGATGGCTGCCACCGACTCCAAGCCTACGCTGTCTACGCTCAAGACGCCCATGTCTGCCACCTATCCCTCGGAACTCAGGTCGCCCATGATAACCTCAGCAACCACTCCCATCTTTGCCAACATCAAGCGGGAGGATTCGGATCTCAAGACACCAATCACGCCACCAACAGCCTACCTGGAATTCCTCAAGAACTTGTCACCTGTTCTATCAAGCCCAATGTCCACTG